ACGTAAGGAGAAAAATGCACACCTGACAACTGATTACCATGTCCCTGCTACTACGGGGAACAGGAAATTCTGAGCAAGGAGAATATTTTCCTTCACTGTCTCTGAAAGGACAGAGTAACCTTCTTAAGTCTTATTCTCACTGTTATAAACATGATGTTGTAAGATCCAAGAAAAGAAACATTCCACACCTCCTACTCATCTCACCTTGCTCTAAAGAGCCACAGTGAAAGTTTGGTCATGGTCTGTTACAGAAGAATGTTTAAACTGATACCTAATCAAAGCCACCACTATCTCATACCGTCTCAACTCAGGTTTCATATGGAGGACACAAGCTTGAGGTAATGTGGGGGTTATGATACTAGCAATACTGAATTACTGACATAATTTTTAATAATGAACCATATAGTCTTACTAGTATGAAATGTGTTGCACAAAATAGAGAATTATAGTAAGTGGAAATGCTCTTAAAGTTCTTAGGTTTCATTAACTTATTACTATGAGCTGGGAATGCTGTTTGAGTTGTTTTTTATTTTTTAAACAGATTTTAAGGAATAACGATAGCACACAGTTTTTGCAGACTTTTGCAGACAAATGTGGAAGCCATTAGTTAATATTAATGAATTTCTTATTGAGACAATGTGAAACACGTTTACACTTGCACAGTAAAGCTTGCAGAGATAAGCAGAAACTCAACAAATAATTTTTAGGTTACAAAAAGTTACAAGATAGTAAGCTCTAAAACTTACCATCAATATCTTGCTCAATGATATCTCTTTGCTCCTGGAGTATCTTTCTCAAACTGACATAAGCGAAACCAATATCTTCACATTCAAGATCCTCTTCATCATCTGGGGGGTCACTGACCACTGTAAACTGCAGGCTAAGCACAAAAAAAAAAAAAAAGTTTAACTCTAAATACAGGGGGGGCAGGAAAAAAGTGAAGAACACGCTCTATTTTACCACTTAAGCACAAAACAAAACTCTTTATCAATTATATCCAACATTTTCCATGACAAGAACAGTCTGAGACCCTTTCTTTTAAATCTTTCCTCCTTTAGCATTAATTAGTAGTACTAGAAGTACAGAGAGGTTGCAACCTCAGATCTGGAAGCTTATAGAATTGCTCCATTTTTCTCCCATCACCCCAGCACCCTGTGGTACAATTCTCCTACATACAGCAGTAACAGGCAGAAGAATGTTCTAAGGATTTAAGACTTTTCCACATTTGAAACTTGAATGTTTGTTTAGCTCAGCTGCTGAATGAACTGTTCAAGTCACTTAATTTCTTTATATTACACCCCACCAGTAAAAATCAAGATTGTATCTATGTACTTTGAGGCTTCTGTAGTAAAGCTCATTTATATAAAATATCTAAAAATATAGACAGGGCTGGTTTTTTATGAGCTTTTTTTCTTTTGTTGTTGGTGGGGTGATTTTTTTGTTTGTGTATTTTTACTGTGTTGACCATACCTGGCAAATTATCTTATGTGAAGGAAAAAAACAATTCATAAGCAATAATGAAAGGTTTAGATTAAATGCAATTCCATTTTGTTGGTAAAACCTTTGAATACCATAAACTTGTTTAAAAAGTTCAACTACATTAATTCAGTCAGGCCACATAAGACAAACCTGTTGGATTATTTCAGCTGTCATGTGAAGCATATTTATGAAGTAAAAGTCCTTAGCTGTCCCCACTTACGGTGCTTTATTTGCATAATAGTCTTGGAACATATTAATTGGATTCCTGTTGGACTGGACTAAACTAAAGTGAAGATGTGCTCCAGGTGTACCTACCTCTAAAGCACTCCACAGCAACAGTCAGTAGAATCAACTAGTATAATGAATTCTCAAAATCATCCTAAAAAGGTATGTACTGTGAATATCAGACTATTAGCAATAAGTGATTTGTGCTAGAGTCTCTGGTCTGCACCACTTGATAATTTATATCTAGCCTTAGTAAATTTTAAGCCATGCGTTTTCTTGGCTTTACACTAAGTGGTGTGGGAGACATGAGATAAATATTTAAGAAAGACAAACCATATCAAACATTTTCCTGATACCAGAAATTCTAGCAATATTCAATGAAGCAAGTATTTCCAAACACCACATATAAAATATTTAGCAGAAAGTTAGAGAATTTTCACACCTCATTTAGATACTTAAGAGAGCATATTCTAGCCAAGAACGCATTCCAGAAAATTACAGGAACCTAAAGGCAGTTCTTACAAAATACTGTCTTTCTAAAGTTATCTCATACATTCATTATTTAAAGTTGGACCTTGCACAGCAATTTCTCCTGCACTTGTTCCATCTCAGATTTTATCGTTATTCTTTTCCTATTGTACACATCCAAAACTCCTCGTGAGTACAGCCTGGACACAAAGGCCTTTGAGCATTTACCGTGCTGTCTAAACACAGCCTGTTTGTCCATCCTAAACATATGAAGCCCAACAACTATACAAAATACTCACACTTCCTTTGAGAACTTAAATTACAGTTATTGCATCCAAGAATGGCTTTTCTTTTAAACACTTAATTCCAGTGTTTTGCTGGAGCTGCCTTGAGTTAGTGGCTTGTGTTGGGGCCAAAAAGTCCAAGACTGACAAAATGACAGGAATTCAGAGCTAAGTACTTTTTTGGTCTGCCTTGGCAATGTTGTTTAAATTGTGAATGCTTGTGAGCGTTACAGCCTAAAAATATTACAAGAAGCATAATTTCAAATAAGTAACAATCAGATTGTGTAAAATCCAAGTCTACAGGAAAGGAAATCTTAGACAAAATATAATCAAACCTTCCTAGAAGACTTTAAACATAACAACGGCAATACTCTTTTATAATAGTTTATTTTTGTGCTTGGCACTTACTAACAAATATTTTTCTAGAAAATACAGACATAAATACTTGTTTGTCAGTAAAACCAGACGCATATTGAAAATATGTGTCTGAAAAAAATTTTGGAGGAAAAAAGAAAAATTATAGGTATTTCCAACAGCAGGTGGCTTGATTGAGTACTATGGATCTAACTTAAAGATTCTGGCAGAGCCGCAAAGCTTCCAGAACTCAGTCAAAATGAAAGAAATACTTAGATGTGTAGGATGAACATTAAAGGAAATAAAAAGAAATTAAAAATTGGAAGAATAATAACAAAACTGTTAGGTATTTGCTACAGATCTGTTTTGTTAGGATTCAGTGTCAATTTAAATCAAATCCATTGGAGAAACTAGCTTAGTGGTTAAGACAGTGATAGAAGAGGGGGAGATTAGTGCTGGATTAATTTTTATTACTTAAGGGTACCAACCACTAAATTTTCACTAAATTATAAACTAAAAGCAGGCCTAGTAACATTGGGGACAATCTCTTACAGCCAAAGTGGAGAGGCGTTCATACTGCTGCCCTTTCTCGTTCAGATCACATGCAAGTGTTTTATGTGAATAGAGCAGACTTCAACAAAACAGATCAAAAGATCTGCACTCTTTAACACCTCATAGTTCCAATACGCCTAAAAGATCATTATAGTGGATTAAATCTTTGTTGCTAATCAGGAGGGAGATTTGAACTCTGCATCCCATGGGAATACTCCAACTAGTAGACTGCAAGAATGCTACCACCATCACTGTCACTTTTGTAATTTAAAAAAAATATTACAACTGCTTTAAGTTTAGAAAATATTTAAATATGATATTCAGTATGCTTTAACTTGTTTTCTTCATCTGCCAAAAACTGCATGAATTTTGTTTTCAGGTTGAAGTGGCTAAATGTCAGTTTACATTGCCTTGGAACAACTGCCCATGAACACACTCCTCACTCTTCTTCATTCACCACAGAACGTGCAGCTAGTGTTCCATCTTACCCTAGCACTGCCTTACCTATGTAGTAAACTTTGATGGAAGTTGGAACAGCAAAAATACTACGATTTCTGAAATAAATAAAGCTATGTATAGTGTTCCTCTCCCATATGTCTCTCTAGGATCCTAAACTTTCTCTCTAGCTTATTTCTACAGTTTTTTTCTATAACCCAGCTATCAGCACTCACTTCCTTGCAGGAATCCCATGCCTATTGACTTAGTAAGAAGAAATCTTGACATCCTGTAAAAGTATTGTGTGGAAAGACACTTGCTAGCAACTGCAAGAAAGGCCAGAGAATTAAATGAAACTTGTCTGTCAGTAAAGGGCCAAAAGAAAAGTAAAAGAAGAATAATCATTTCTTTAAGCTTAAGATGTGCTTTATAATGAAGCAGAAGATCCTGGACAAATAATTTGTTGTTGTTATGATAACTCTTAGAGGTATTATCACCAGCAGGTAGAGTGCCTGGACAGAAGCTGTGATATAGGCAAATTTGATTTTAATTCTTTATTCTGAAGAATAGTCATTTAAGCAGCAAGGAGAAAACCTTGTGTGTTAATATAGTATATTAATATGAAGCTAGCGGTGTACACAGGCTCTATACTCCCCTAACACAGATGCACAGATTTTGCTGCTTTGGAGAACAATGACTTCACGTAGTCAGTTTCTTGGAATAACAATCATTTCCTACCAAGAAATGATGCACCTGTCAGGATCAGCCTGGAAACCTCTTGCATAAACCTGTTCACTCTTGTTATCACAGCAGGGTGACTGTTTGGAGAATGGATTCGTCCATTCCTCACATATGTCTCTTTTGACCCATGTCTGAAGAGCACACACTCTACCTCCAGGCCTGCAAGCGCTGCGAGCACAGTCTGGCACGAGGAATCAGGTAAGTTTCTCTATACAATCCAAATTTCCACACTCTTAAAATGTTGAAAGGCAATAGTCGAATACAGACAGGATGAGGAATAAAAGATAACAAAAATAAAGGCCACCCATGTCATACAAAACAGCTATAAGGAGGAAGTGTTCTTAAAATATTTCCATATTAATGATAGAGACATTGCCTGTCTGAAAACATAAGGACAAAAATGCTTTACAAAAATGTAAAGACAAAAAAAAAAAACCAAAACAAGAAGAGCCATCTTTGTGTTATGCAGTAATTACTAATCTAAATAGGATTTCAAACAGTCTTCCCAGTCTACTAGCTTTTGCTCATATATTTTAGTTGTTACATCATTCCATTTAGAAGCTTTTTTTTTTTTTTTTTTTTTGGATACTGAGTATTTATGGATTTTCTGCTACTAAAGCCATTTATTCATATGTAGAACCCAAATCAAGACTTGCAATGATTCCATGTCAAAAAAAAAAAAATTGAAAAAAGAGAAAAGTAAACTTTGTTTTAAAATCTTATCTTTTAATGAACAGGAAATCCCACTCCCTACAAATATTAGATTGGATATTAGGAAAAAATTCTTCATCAAGCACTGGAACAGACTGCCCAGGGAAGTGGTGAAATCCTCATCCCTGGAGGTTTTTAAAAGACATGTAGATGTGGCACTTAGGGACATGGTCTAGGTGTGGACTTGGCAGTGCTGAGTTAACTGTTGGACTTGATCTTAAAGGTCTTTTACAGCCTAAATGATTCATGATTCCCTGAAATAGACATACTTCCCCATGTAATTGCTGTTTCAATCTACATATATTTATTTGAAAGTATAAACAAAAAGAGTATAAAGCTGTGAAATGCATCATTTTCAGGGTCAAGTTGGCTCCTGTTTCCACTATAAGATTAGGCTGTAGTTGCAATTTTGACTTAGCAGTAATTTTATGTATCCTATTAAAATCTCTTTTAACACCTGAGAATATTTATCTTTTTCAAGGGACATTCACTGAAGTTACTCTCTTTTTCAAAGACAAAAATAACACACAATGTATATATTTATTTTTGTTGTGATACGGACCTAGTCATCATGAGTATCATTTCTAACAATATTTATTGTGACAGGGAGAAAATTCACCTGAAAAATTATACACTACTTAATATATGTAATACACTATCTATGCTCCTATAATCTGGCATAGCACAAACGCCAATAAAGTGTCAGGCTAAGCCATGTGCAGGCAATTTTAAATGATATTTATATCCTTGATAATCTGGTTTCCTGAGCTTTAAAGCATTAGTTTAGTTCAGTTCCTGTTTCAGCTGAAAAAGCTCTGATATTAGTTTGTAAAGCTTGTGATAGAAAACATGTGTTAAAGATACAACTGGGCCAGGTTGAAAATGCATACAGTTGAAAACATTTGGTGGATAGGCAGAAACTTTCTGTATAATTTGTTTCTTGGTGGTCCCCTTGCTAGGATGAAGTGTGGAACTGGACTACTGATGAACTTCCTGCCTTGCTATTTAGCCAACCTGGAATTCAAATTCTACCACAGACCAAACTAGACGCAGCAATTAATACAGAAGACAAAGTACCTAGTAACACAGGACAGAACCATGATGGCACATGCAACAGATGAATATTTTAGCTTATTTTTACCTTAGGTTTGTTAAACATTTAGCATAGGTACCTAAGTACTTACAGGTCAAGTGCAGCCCACACATGAGCTGTTTTCCTTCATTGGATTATCCCTTTGAAAGAAAGTATTTTGTCGTCTGTTGTTGATAAATTCTTAGTTGAACATGTTACCCACTTTCCTAATCCATATGGTAAAATAAGTCTTCTGCTTGCTTATTAAGACTGGTTTGTTTTGTTTTGTTTTTTTGTTTGTTTTTCTTGTTTGTTCATTTGTTTTTAAATCTCCAAACACCTACAAATGTTTTGGTATGATATTTTCATCCCAACAAGTAATCCTTTCATGGTGTTCCCTGTTACATTCCAGTAAAACCTGTTTTCTGTCCAACACATGAAACTCAGCTCTAGAAGGAAAATGGAATGGAGATCACTCTCCTTCTTACTGCAGAGAGAATTTGCGATTTGTGAATACATATTTAAAAGATAACAAGTAACTCCTACATTTCAAATACAATCAGCAAGTACTCCACTTCTCTGCAAATTAAATTAATCTTTAAATTAATAATTGTTCCATGTTAATGCAGATTAACCTTAAAGTGGAAACAGAATCAAAGGCTGTCATCCATTCTCTCAAAGTAATGTGTATACTACCTCAAAAAATTTGAGTAAGAACAAATTTATTATCATAAACTTGAACTCTTTCTCATATCTACATATATATAACAGCTGTCTGCTCCATCCATCCATCCATCCATCCATCCATCCATCCATGTTTTTGGAAATCCTAAGGCCCATGAACACTTTCTGAAGCTTTTACATTCCTTTCAGCACTCTGAATTCACAAAACAATAGATGCATTACTCTATCATCAGGCAGGTTTATGCTTTTCAAATGCATTATTGATAGAACACTGACAGAATACTCTCTTTTGCAAAATGAGGTTGTAAAAAAAAAAAAAAAACCCCCACACAAAAATAAACCAAAAATCAACAAACCCAAAAATCTAAATAAAAACATGGCATTAAAAGATTAAAACATTAAGCATTAAGAGAGGTTGCAATATTCCATGCCACACAAACCCACCCAAGGAAAAATGTAGATCAATTGCCATATTAAATGTAGATATCATTCTCAGCTGAAACAAAATTTTCCCTAGTTAGTTAGTTATGTATTAACTTCTCAGAGATACCTCCTCAATAAAGTCAAACAACAATGCGAACCATAAGCATTATTTACAAAGACTTTTAATAGAGTTTTTCAGCATTATATATGTACCTGTCAGTATGTAGATCTGGCTTTAGAAACATAGACTTGAGATACTCTCTTCTTGCCCAATTATTTGCCTTATCCACATATATCACTGTAAAGCAAATTGGAATTCATATAATTAGGTATCAATTGGTTTTCATCTTTTAGAATAAAAAGCATGAAGAAAAGAACAAAGAAAAATAAACATTTCTTTCCCTTGTCTTTCCTAAGGAAAAGCAACAATATTAGAATCAAATTTGAAAGGTCATGTGATCTTATGGCGTGTCACTGGCAGGTTTACGTGCACACTGTCAAAAAAGATACAAGCAGCACCTAAGCATGGCACATAGCTGTCATTTTCTGTTAATGGCAATAGCAGTCATGATTTTAAAAGCCAGTGGTCTTTACTGCTTTGTATTTGAAGTGATTTACTACATTTTTTTCCACTAAGGAAGCTAGTGATAATGATAATGTATGGCAGAGTGCTTGTCCTTTTTGACAGCCTCAGTAATTTAATCCTCCTTTCCTGCCACAGTACTTCAATAAAAGAAACATCTAGACCAATGGACTGGAGAAAATCCACAGCCTGGGGAGTGTGAGTGCTCCAAAAGCCTTTTATTGTTTTAAATTAAAATACAAACACAAGGACCAGCTTTTAATTCTTGTAGCATTACTATGACCTACAGTGAAAGATAGCCTTGGTTTGGAAAAACAGTAAAAGAATAAGAAACAGGGTTTTAGAAAATTCTTTAAGAAGCTTTTGGTCATCTTATATTAAGAAAGTAGCTTGCTTTCTTGCAAATGGTATCAGCCTACAAGTATCAGTAAACTACTGTGAAAGATTATAAAAAAATAATCAGGATGCAAACATTGAAAACCAGTGTTAAAGGAATTACTTTGTTTTTGAAGTAAGAAACGCAGCTGAAAAATTTTTGCTAGGACAGAACTAGAATGAATACATCCCTCTGAGAAACAAACGGCTCTTGGGAACATTTCCCATTTGTTTATTAGGGCAGGAGGAGGACCTAGAAATTTGTGTGACTTTAAATTCCCACATCTTTAATATTCATTCTCCTCTAGTTACTCTGCCACTGTACTTACATATGATCTTTTTCACTCTCCATGTCACATTAAGATTTCCCTTTCCCACTGTGCTGACAGAAACCTTTAATATATTTCATACTGTCTTCTACTGTCCAAACCCCCCTCATTTTTATGAACAAAAATTATAAACTACCAAGTAGCAGAAAGTATTTGAATACAGGAGAGATAAGAAGGTTCAGATTAATTCCTTGCAGAGGGATTTATTGAGGGATATACCCTTAGAAAAAGTCCTTCTGGGAAGCACACCTTCCAAACTACTGTCTCTCCAGTTTTCTCTAAAGCTGCTCCTCAGTTCTTAGCTGGCCAGGAGAATCACTATTAGAAATCAGTTACTTTCAGAAAACAGCCAGTACAGTTGGAATCTGAATGACTCAGTCAAAGAAATCTGCCATTTAACATCTTTTTCTCTACTAAGAGAAAGCAAAGCACTGTTGCTCTATCTTGGAATCTTTACTTTCCACCCACAATATTTTTACTTTCTTAGGTTAAAAGAAGCTGTTACTGCCATCTGCTATTCTTCTGGGCATGTGGATGACTTTTCACATGTGCTACTCTTATGGCCAAGTGCTCCTGGGGCCACCACAGGAAGTGATGGGAAGGCAGCAGGGAGACAGATGGACAGCCAAAGAACTTCAAAGGAGCTGCCACATCAACAGATTCTTCACTTCCCCATAAGCATCCCAAATGGAATTTCCTAAGTTTACTAATTCTGTATCTAAAACAATTTTTAATGGAAATTATTTACAAATGAAAAGAGTTTGAACTGACTTCATTCAGTGGAAAAATTCAGACTAGCAAGTAAAATATTCAACACAAAAAGCCCACTCAAGTCTGGGGAAAATGATTAACCAGAGTGAAAATACATTTTTAGATCGTGATGAATAATATGCCTTCGTATCACCCTTTAGTACTGCCTGAACTTAGAATTATAACTTTGCTCCAAGGCATGGAACATCACATATTGCTATCCAGTTAACTGCAAAAATAACTCAACATTAACTTGTGACAGCTTGCACCTAAATTTGTAATTTTAAAATTTGTTCTAAAGAATAAACCATTTTTAAACCATTTTCATTTGAGTTATACTGAGAAAGCCACCTTTTAGAATATGGATCTTCAGAAGTTTATTTTTAATTAAAAAAAAAAAAAAGTAAATAAATACACCCCATCATCTTTCCTCCACCTCCTCTTCCTTTGGTGTACTTACACGTGTACTTCAAGTTGTTCAAATAATCAACTGTTCACTCAAGAGTGAAAGTTTTAAGATTAAATGTCATGTAAAATCTATGCAGAATTCTGTAAATCTTTCTTCTACTTCTGCTCCCTCTTCTCTAGAACCATTGTATACAGTATAAAGACACATTTCAGACCTTTATCAAGCTTACTTTCTAGTAACTTTCTTGCCATCTCAGCATTTTCACAGTTAAGTCTTCATATTTAACAAAATACGAATGCTTTTTGCTAACAGCAGTTATGAACTCACCTTACCTTTGAAATTTAAGTAATTGTGGTTCTGACAAGAAAAACGTTTATTTTACTGGAATTGAGAGTAAAATATCAATAGATACATGAGGGAGATTGGGCTTTATTTGCTTGGAGCAACATGGCTTTTTGTTTTTCTGACAGTAAAACTGCCATCATATTCACTTTAAAGCATACATTGTTACATGACTGGAAATAAATAATGTCTGGCACAAAATTTAAACTGCATTAAGCAGTTAAAATATTAATTCATTGCTTACTATGATCTGTAACACACTCTCTCGTCAAAACCAACAACACCTAAACAAACCTCATAAAAAAATCAGAATCCTTCCTTTTCATCAAATTATAGGACAGAGTCATGGTGTGAGCACAATTTGGCAAGTTCCAGTTTTCTTTGAATTTATGGGACTGTTTGGGAGCATTCTTGGATATTCTAACAACTCGTTCCACCACTAATGAATACAACAGCTCCTCTTTTCAGTCAGTGCAGCCACCAGTAGATATAATGTGAGAAATCAGTGTATAGACCTCCCCTTGAAATTTCTGTTCCAAGACCTTGGAAAAAAGAAAATTATGTTCTAACCATTCCTAGTCAAAAAGTCATAGTCAAAATAAAAGATTAATGTCAAGTTACACACTGTAACCACTTGTGAAAAGAGAAATTCATATGATCTTGTATGTCCTGGTCAAAGGAGCTCTACTATATTGTTTTTCAACAAGATTCCATTAATCTTCTGGGATCCTACCTGTCAGGCAATGACAACAAAGAATGTGTAAAAGGTATGGAAAAACTTGGAATATTTTTTAAGCAACCAGTCGGGAGCCTTCTGTATCAGTTAAGATGTCCTTAAAACAGTCAAGCTATTCCAGTTACAGATAATATAAAATGTTTTATTTATAAGAATTAACAACTTTTTAGATTACTTATGCACTTACCCTGATTCTCTCCATGCAAAAATCTAGAAGACTATTAGCTTCCTTCTAAGCTCAAAGTAAATTTCCTTCTACCCATGCAAATCTCATTTTTATTAAAGATAATATTCAATTAACCTCAAATATTCAACATACCCAAATCTAATTAGACATGAATAAGAGATGCAGTAAAATTATGTAAACATACATGCAAGTTTCATTACTATTATCTTACTGGCTTTCCAACTGACATTATCAAAAAGCAGACTCATTAGGTTTTTTCTCCTGTTTTATGCAAAGCTAATCTTGAGTAGAAGTTAGATGACCAATTACCTAAGCAAAACTTCGCAAACAACATCCACATTAGTTTTATGCTGAAGAATACAGTCCTGAAGCAATTAAGACCAAAAACACCTTTTGATTTTGATTTGTTAGGATGTTTTAAACAGTTCTATACTCAATACTTAAGCAGCAAAAAGAAAATCAAAGGTACGAAGCCAGGTTATGATTAATGGAAATAATATGATACAGCACTACCAGATTGGAAAGCCTTATGAATTACAGTGTCTACAAAGCACAGTACTATTTTCAAATATCACAGCTTGAAATATATTTAAGTTTCATAATTATTTTTAGAGTTGGTAATTTCATTCTTTATTCATCATAACTTTGCTGCATTTTGCTAGTTTAGCTTGGCAAAGTCAGTACTTAAATCTAACGTTATGCTTAGACCATAACCAATATACAGAAGAATCAGAATATTGTGAGACAATTTTTATACCTCCTGAATGCTTCTTATATTCAAAGCTACAGAAATTGAGAAAGCAAGAGAAATTAAAATTGATAAACAGCTTTTATTGGCTTATGGTATTATTTCAATGAGGTTTAAAAAAAACTATTTCAATTATGTCTGCCTATCAAGAACACTTGGAAAAGTGCTCACAGCAGCTAACAGGATAAATATTGTTCAGCTCATAAAAAAAGCTCTTAATTTATCTGCTATCTCATTTAGTACATGATGCCAGAAATCCCATTTGTTTGAATAGAAGTAAGCCTTATCGAATGGAAGAGTTTGCAGGGCTGTTAGTTTTCATGGGTTTGTTTTGTTTTGTTCTGTTTTTTTCCTAAAGCTTTACAAAGATTATTGCCTTTCTCAGAGTCACAGAAGTTAACACACTGTGCCCTCTCCTCTGTATTCTGCCTCAAATGGGCAGTCCTGCTATAAAGATCGTTTATGTGACATCTATGAGGGATTTCAGTCTTCAACTATGGGGTAATCCAACAGTTTATGAGTATTATGAAGATACAAATGAGTAAGGTCTTTGGTAAGTCTTCTAAAATGAGGTTTCTAGATGGTAGCAATTTTAAAGATCTGACTGTGACACCAGTTTTGCAAAATTGTTTTTACAGAATGCTTAGTTTGAATATCTGTATTAACAGTGTGTCACAAACAGCAAACTGATTCACCTGCTCCAGGATATTGTTGGCTAAAAATGCAATACTTGGAAGTTCAAGACAACATGAAGCACTCAGACTGAATCTTAAATGTATCAGACTTTAACAGGGGAAAAAAAGTTAATGAATAATTGAAATACTATGAAATAGCTGGGAAAATAAGTAATGAGAATTATCAATTATCCCAATAGTTCTGTGTATGCTATTAGTGTAAATTACTTTGTGTATTGACATAAAGAGTGTTCATTTATTAGAGAATAGCAAATGGAACATGCAGGATTAAGGCTTATGAAGTAAATATCAATGTGGTAGTATTAAACATGGCTGAATAATTTCCTATTTCAAAAAGTTCTTATTAAAGGAACACTGAGTATTCCCAAGTGATGATCAAGTCCAACTACGTATTTTCTCTTTGTAACTGTGTTTAAGTTTTAGACGGTTACATGTAATGTTTTTATTTTGCTGTATCATCACGTACTAACAGAGATGTTCTTTTAATAAGAACACATAAATTTTAGTTACATATAGCCTAATAGTAAAATTCATGTGCTAGCAGCATATTTAAATATATTGTAATGTTACCATTTCATACAGAAGCCTACTTCAATCATGCATTTTATAATTGATAATTCCATTCATTTCTTAAAAACCATCTTTAATATTTCCCAAAATATTTGGGAAACAGACACATACAGTTGGTATACAGATAAAGGTAGCTATATTATCTAGAGGAAGGAGGCTTTACTGGCAGGCTTTTTCATAAGATAGAATTTAAGAGAAGAAACAAGCCTGCCCAGGAGTACATCACACTTACCATTGCTATAGTTATAGTGAATCCTCCGACCACCTGTAGGTTTTCGAAGGGACAGTGGGGTCTCCTCTGCAAGGAAATTGGATAATCTGCATTCTACAAACAGCTGCTGTATTGTTTCATCTGATGCAATTTGTGGCTCAGTAAAACCGAGTGATATAATTTCAATCCGTATTTTTTCAGATGCCTATTGAAAAATAAAGCACAAACATAATACAAATTATTTTGTGCTTCTTGAAGTATTAACACAATACAATACATGTAAAACACTGGCTATTTTGTTCATCAACATTGATTGATTCTGATATAGACACAACGGGATTCTAAAGCTCCAGGATTCGTAGTTAAGAATATGGTTGCAACAGATACTGATTTACATTTGGCATTGAGAATATTTTTGCAGTAGACATACTCGTCTGGAGAAGATTAGGTTAAGGTTATCTTCACGTACAAGTGAAGCTTTTTTAGCTACACAGCAGAGTGATTTGTATCTTGATCATATAACTGCTTGAAATAGTCTCAGTAATATTAGGTTCCAAAGTTTTCCAAATTAAAGAGATTTGTTAATGCCTACTGCAGACTATGCTACAAACAGTTCAGTAAACCTCCATCAAGTAACAAAGTAGTTAGGCATGTAAAGTAACACTGTATTTATATGGATTGCAATATCATATACTGATCTTTTCTAGTTAAATCATATACACTTAAAATTAACAGTATGATAATAGAGCTAAAATTCCAACTGTTCTTCACGAGAGCCTTTTCTTATATCTTTAACTAAAATGACATATTCCTGTTGCTCATATGAAATTGTTTCCTACTGTTTGGCAAAGTCTATAGTATTTGTGTACAGATAAATTTTAATACGCTTTATGTACTTGAGTGCGAATGTCAGACTCTACAGAATGAGTCACAAATATTTCCCTAGGTAACTGTAAGTCAAAGTAAGAAAAGCCACTATGGTTTCAGAATTGGAGTACATAAGTGAGCAATCAAAAATGAGGTTCTTCAAAGAGCAAACAGAACACAACAGAGTTCAGAAATATCAAAAATACTTTTTTACTCCTTTGTTTTCTTTTCAAGTTTGTAACTCTGTTTAAAATATTGTCCCTATATGGAAATATTTTGATGATTTTGGATTGCAAACTTAAATCACTTGAAGTAATAAATTAAAAAGATTAGCTTTCTAGATGCACTATTAGAACTGCAAGTCAATATTCTAATTTATTATGGAGATAGCTTATATTTTTCCAAGCAAATTACATAACTAATACAACTGAAAAGCAGGTGTATCCTTTTGTAAAAATATCCATCATATAGAACCATTTCCACTGCTGTCAAGCCTTTTCAATATTTGATGAAGTAATTTTACCCCCTCCTTTCGAAAGACATTTCCTTTTATTATGTATCCTAAGATACTTTAACTAAAAACCTAAATCTGAATATTTCAATAAGGTTGTTTTATTATTCAGTAGATTCATGGAAATTTTACTAGGATGACAGAGAAAATTCCACACCATTCTGTCTCCACTAATACAGGTACATGGCTTCAGCTGGCAATATTACTGGGATTAGCATAGAATGATGAAATATTTAAAAGAAATTTTTTTCCCTAAAATCTAATAAATCAAATGACTGCCAAATGTCATTAAAGTGATGGTCTTTGACTTGAATATGCTTTTCATATTCAAATTTGCAAAGAAAGAGATGAAAGCCTGGAAAGGTTACTCAGTTTCAACTAATAACCTCAAGCAGTCTACATTCACATGCATAAAAAATGACATTGGCTCTATTGTCTAATTTCACTTCAAAAACAACTCTTTTCTTCTTGCACTGAACAGATGTATTAGCATCCGTATTTAAAGTGATATGCTGAGTGGTTTTGTTCGCCCCAAAGTATTAAGCAGCTATGTCAAACTAGTTTGTACACAGACAGCAGTTATGAATCCAGTCCAAATACAATATCCTGTATTATAAAGTATTCCTTTCACATATCTTAAAATTTGTTTGACATATTTAACACTTGTACTTGCATACTGCAGGCAAATATTACAGCTTTTCAAGGACAGCAGGGTAAACCAGGTATTCTGCTTTCTAACTTGTAAGAAAGCAAATAACTGAGTTACACTATTAGAAAATTGTAACAAAAAACCAATAAATTACTGTAGAGATTAACAGTCAAGAATATTTTAAGGCCTAGTTTTATTAATATTAAAAATGAATATAGCATATACAAAGGAGAACACACAAAAAAAGATACTTACAAATAAAAAATATAGAACTGCTTATGAACAGCATAGCTAGCATGTCATATTTCACTACTAACACAAAATGCTTGCATTATGTAGCCACACTGAAAATATATATAGCATCCAGTACGTGATAGGAATTATTTTTTAAACAACCATTTATATTTCTATGATTTACAGTGAAGTATGTTATTTAAATCTTCTCCTAAGTTGTTATTTTTAAGCCTTGGTGTCATTTCTTAGGCACTATTCAAGTGAAAAATTGATAGTTTGTCATGACCAATTACTTCCCACAGATCATTCTACTAAGATAGGGACAAAACTAGCCCTTAAATTTAGCATTTAAACCAAAATATAATATGAAATTTACTCCAACAGAAAGACTGGACACATACAAGAACAAAAAATGCTTTCAAATACTGTCTCTGAGAAACTGTTTCAGTGCTTTTGTTTCAAATAAGGAAAACAAAACATAGGCAATATACTTAGCCTATGTCAATATTCGTTCTTGACCGTTTAATATTGACTTTTTGTAATTAATATCACCTAGAGATTTGGAAGAATCATTCAATTTCTTCAACAAGCTTTAGGATTAGGTTAAGTATTAAATGCATTGGACATAACATCAGAATTTGAAGTCCCAATGTAAGTTTTCTCATCTTCCTGGTTCTTAAGATAAAAAAAACCTTTTTTTGTATTCCATAAAAAGCCTTGACTGCCCTCTTCAAGAAGCTGTATATTACGTATTTAGATTTCCTTTTTAGTCACATTTAGATTTCCTTTTTGGTCACAACGAAATGCCAAGACTTTGATGTGAATAATAACATTCCACTTGACTCAGATGGCCCACAATGGAATTAAGTGTTTGACAAAAAAGAAGTCTGTGCTTTCTCTATAGAACAGCAGCATTGAAAATGCCTTGCTTATAGGAACAATGTAGACAATGTCCTAGTGTTTAACTTTATCTAATCCACAGCCTTAACTGATGTATTGCCCTCCAAAAACTCAAAATAAAGGAAACAACTGTAACATCAACTTGAATCCTTTCTTTACCAGTGCTCAAAGGTATTTATGCTTAACTGCTTCACATTTTATGTATTTATTTCCACAGAACACTTATTCACAGAATCATAGAATGGTTTGGGTTGGAAAGGACTGACCTCAAGATCATCTAGTTCCAATCCCCCTGCCATGGGCAGGGACGCCTCAACCTAGACCATGTAGTGTTTAACTTTATCTAATCCACAGCCTTAACTGATGTATTGCCCTCCAAAAACTCAAAATAAACAACTGTAACATCAACTTGAATCCTTTCTTTACCAGTGCTCAAAGGTATTTATGCTTAACTGCTTCACATTTTATGTATTTATTTCCACAGAACACTTATTCACAGAATCATAGAATGGTTTGGGTTGGAAAGGACTGACCTCAAGATCATCTAGTTCCAATCCCCCTGCCATGGGCAGGGACGCCTCACCCTAGACCATGTCATCCAAGGCTCTGTCTAACCTGGCCCTGAACACTGCCAGGGATGGAGCACCTACTACTTCCTTGGGCAACCTGTTCTGTGCCTCACCACTCCCACAGTAAAGAGCTTCTTCCTTACATCTAACCTGAACTTCCCCTGTTTAAGTTTAAATCCATTACCCCTTCTGTCACTACAGTCCCTTCACTAGTTACCTTCTATTTCAAGCAGAGTAAATTTTAGGTAACATCAGGTAAACTTTAAGTTATTGCCAAATAATCACAAGTAATTATCCATTTACTGTCAGTACTTCAATCGCTATCGATATTATTTGATTGGCAAATATATTTACTGAATGTGAAAACATCCCCTTTCTCTGCCAAGGGCCAAATTCTTGTGATCATCCTAATAATGTCAGAATAGAACTGTAAAGGAATGCTATCACAGGAATGTCAATCTAACTTCTCTCTTCAGACACACAGACATCATTCATTAACAGGTCAGCATCTTACACATACACATGAAAAATACATATTACAAGAAAATATTCTAGTCCTTAACTGTATGCAGTGACTTCTTATGTCAGACACATCATCTCTTTTTAGATTTTCCCCACAATGCTACTGATGTGAGAATGGCAAGAGCTCCCTGTTCCTTCTCCAAATGGATGGGACTTACAAAAGTGCATGCACTTTAGACTCTTGCTAAGGCTTGGGGCAAAGATGTATCTCCTTTTTAGAGCTGGATTTACTGTGAAGGAAGGAAAGACACACAAAATCTTCCCCTGCATCATTGGTTTTACCATGTGTTAGGAGGAGAATTCAATGGCACAAGGTTAGCACCATAGTAAGATTTGATGCAATCCCTTCAGCTCTGTCTGCAATTAAGAACACACTCAAAAAAATCTCTGTCATAATGAGTACGTCTCTGGTTGCTGCCATTTTATCTAGAGCCATTTTATCTAGAGTCCAAATCCATCATTTTCAGAGCCTGAATTCATCTTCAGTCTTTTAAAAGTACGAATTACTTGCCACAGCTTGAGACAATTCAGTGATTAGATATTGCCTCTTCAGTGCAAATCCGTAACACACCCATCAATGCATTGTTGTTTTTCAGAAAAGACAATTTCTAATTCAGTATAAAACACCAAACATTTTAGAAAATACAAAGTTCTTGAAGGACGTGAAGCTTTCCCACCACAATCATGACAACTATACATCTGAACTTAATGTCACATTTGCACTGTGCTTATAATACACCTTTCGATCACTTGAATAATATACTTTCATCCCTTCAGTGGCATAAGTCGCCCACGCTATCTGAAAAACAAATACAAAATTGTCCACTGTTTCTCCTGAAGTTGAATTTTTTTTAAAGACTTGGCTTTGCAACTTGCCTGTGGCACTACCTCAAGTAACAGCTTTTAAAGATGAAGTGTTTCTAGGGTGAATAAATTAAAAAAACCCCCAACAA